AATAAAACAATGTGTTTAAAAGGTTCCTTCACAGATGATTCCTTCATATGTGATTGCAAGCAATTAATTGCAAAACAGAGACTTTTACACTCAACTAGAAACCCTGTGCCTGCCTATCATTTCATCAAGTAATTTTTCTTCAAATATAAATATATTTTAAATTGGTTTTACTGATATCCTTGGTACCTTGAAAATCCTACTGGTACTTTAGTTATTAATTTATGGTATTCTATTCTATTTCCTTCCTTCCTTCCTTCCTTCCTTCCTTCCTTCCTTCCTTCCTTTCTTTTTCCTTTTCTATCTTTGTAATACTATGGATTTAACCCAGGACTTACTGAGCTATATCTCCAAGTTTTGAAATTTTATCTTAATCATAATTTTAAATTTTTAGACAGAGCCTCACTTAAATTACTGACTTGTCCAGGCTGGGCTTGCAATGATTACCTTCCTGCCTCATCCCCCAGAGTGCTGGAATTGTAAACATGGGCCACCATGCTGAGCACTATTTTTTACATATTCATTCTTAGAAATAACAGCAGCTGATCTTGTCTGCTTCATTGTTACTAGAAAATCTACATTAATAATTTCCAGTGGCTATAAACCAATATAAAAGCTTTCTAGTTTCCCTAGTGTTCTGGAAATCTCACTTCTCTTTGTGGTACTCCAAGAACTTCTAACAATTTATTTATTTATTTATTTATTTATTTATTTTATTGAGAAACAAATATCAATGAGATAGTTTCAAAGCTGATTAATAGGACATTCTCAATAATTAATACATTATACATTGTTATCTTCTTCTTATTTTTTTTTAAATTTATTTATTTATTTAGTGTGTGTGTGGCCAGCTCAGCCCACCAGGGGGCGGGGCTGGCTGGCATGTGGTGCTGGGGGATTGAACCTCAGTCCCTGTGCTTTGCTTGGCTTAGTTTGTTCTAAGTAGGTGCTTTAGACCACTGAGCCATCTCACCAGCCCCTGTTATCTTCTTAGTGGTCATACATAATTTAAGGAGCAGACAGGATAGCCTGTCCAAACACTATTACTACAAATCTTTCTTCTCATTGAATTAAATGAAAGTAGCTGTATATCTATCCTGACTATTCTGTATGTACAAAATACAAAATGGTCCTTCCTTTGTATTGAGTAGATGGCTCAGTGGAATAAGCGCTTCCCTGGCAAGCACAAGGGCCTGGGTTCAATTCCCGGTTCCGGAAAAAAAAAAAAAGAAAAGCAAAGAAAAAGAAAGAACTAACAACTCATGATAAAATAGTCTCTCTCTCTCTCTCTCTCTCTCTCTCTCTCTCTCTCTCTCACACACACACACACACACACACACTCACACAGAAAGCACTCTACTCTACCACTGATCCACACCCAAGCCTGAGAGACTGGTCGTGAAAACTACATTTCTACAGTGAGATCATCCCGCTCTCTCACTGCTGCTCGTTTCTGTATGTCCTGCAGGGGGGCTCTAACAGCGCTTTTCTTCTGTTAGCATGTGCACATGCCTGGCATCTACTTGGCTTCCTCTGACGTGGAAATCAGCTGGCCAGTAAAAACGCGAATATCTTGACAGGTCAGTTACCACCCGTGTTTTGTACTCACTGGTTGGGTAGCTCTGACTTAAAAGATGACCAGCAAAACAATGGGTGAGCAAGCAACTCTAAATCCCCATGCTGTGCATTACTCGGGTCAAAAGATTTCTCTTTGTGGGGATGCTATCTAATGCATGAAGGTTTGATTTAAATTCATCTGTCTCTTATATACTGCTTTTTCTCCAGAATACTTAGAAAAAGACTTCAAAAGATACTCAATAAATATTTGCTGAATGAATGTAACGGGTATTAATAATGCCAAATGTTTTTAAAAGGTAATTGATGTCAAATGGTAGGCAGAGAAAGTTCAGCAGGGATAGGAACACTTACTACAAATTTGGTACAGTGTCCAAAGAAGGAATTTACATTAATAAGTAACCTTTGAAGCTGGGTTCTTTTATGTCCATTGCCCCTGGACTAAGGCACTCTGGTGTCAGAAAATCCCAATCAAACAGCAGTTTCAGAAAGAAGTAGAAGCAATATCCAAATGTTCAAAAGGATTCCATGAAGAAACACTCTGTGATCAGCTTTTCAGATCTTTGCGAATAAAACGGCATATGTGCTCATGCACACACACATACACATGCACATAACACACACACACGCATGCACACACACACACACACACACACACACACGATGGAACCCCTTCTTAAATTTTTTATAGTATAAATAGGACAAATTGGATGACATAGAGCAGGCCTTAGCACTGCCACAATTACACAAAAGATAGTGAAAATTAGGATCTTTTTCTTTTCATTGCCCCCCAAGCCCCCAAAACTCAGGTTAAAAGAGTGGTGGTGGTCTTTTAACGAGCTCAATCAATATTCTGGGCCTGGGTTGTCAAAAGCTGCTTTATATCTTTTACATATCATGACAGATAAACAAACTGATCCAATGTGTATAATACACTGGGAAGAACTGAGGAAGCTGTGGGGCCCAGAGGACATTGTTAGAGGACCTGTTCCACCCAGGCACATTCTGATGGCCCAGGAGCAAAGAGGGATCAACACGAGCATGTCTGCACCACACTCATCGTCTCCCCTGCCCTTCAGCCAGTCCGCATGGAGGCCTGGGCTCCAAACACACTCATCATGATGAGCATACAGAAGGCAAAGCACCAGTAAGTCGCTCCGAACCACACTTCTGGGTACACCATGCCGCCTTCAGGGAGGCACAAGACAAAGGAGCATGCTAAGGCTCTGAGAATCTAGATGTCCTTTGTTTTTCTCCAGTGTTTTCAATTTCTTTTAATCAGTACACTAGTGTCTCCAGGGCTTAAGGAAGCTTCCAAATAGTTACACCTTTCCCGTAAGAACACAGTGCCCAGTGATTTGAAGAAGGGTTAATGCAACAGTATAACATTATAATTTTCTTTCTTTAGAGAATATTTTGGATCCGAAAATAACTTTAATGGTTAAGAAGAAATCCCCCAGGAACTTTGTTAATGCCAGAGTGTTAAACACCATAATCAATATTATTACCTAAATGAGCTGCCTGGGAGTCAGAACGAGTAGATTCTAGAGCTGAGACTCCAGGCACCAGCAGTAACTCGTATTCTACTGGCAAGGAGACTTCTAAACATGAGATCCAACACCCTATGCATCACCGCACCCTCCTTCCCACAGAAGATTTATCTGTCTTTCTGGTTATATATTCCCTGGGCTGTTAATGTAATTAGTGTATAATAACTATGTACATATCCAGTCACAGGAAAAACGGCAGACGTGCTAGTTGATTTGGCTTGGGGCCATCTCATCGGCGGCATGAGACAACCTGATATTAAACCATCTGTTATTAACTGTATATTTTAAAATAGTGTTTTGTGTCTCCTGGGGTACTCTCATTGATAGCAGCACAATATTAAGACTCCTATTTTCCAAGCAGTACCAAGGAGATAACAAGCTTTAAGACATTTGCACTGGCCCCTCTATTGCTTGTGTTATTAAAGATTTTATTTACTGAAACATTGCTGTGTTAAACACACCGCTTTGCTCTTTCATTATCTCGGAAGGGAGCCAGTTTTGTTTAAACCATGTTTCTAAGGACAGTTGTGCTGTTTGGCTTCATAAATCCTAAATCGAATCAGTCATAGGTTTTGTTCTTAAGAGTAGGTGCTTGCCAATCTGTATTAAGACAATAGTCTCTCTGAGGAAGGGACTATGACTTGCAATTTTTGTGAAGAGTGGTCACTCTCTCAAATCTGCTTATTTTCCTTGATTACTTTTCAGTAAGTTCACGTAAGAAAGGAATTTCTCAATATCAGAAACCTTGTGCCACTTGTTGCAGGCAGTAGTACAATTGTGCCCCTTGAACTCTCAGGACTAAGTCCCAGTTCATGATGGAAATGACAATACACCTTTAGAAAAAGGAGCAGTCACATCATTCAATGCCATTGTCCAAGCTCATTGAATTCTTAGAACCACTTTGTCCTGCAAAAATAAAGATACCAATTTGCCCCTTACTTCAAATCAATTTTGACAGCTATAAAAAATGAACTTTCTTCTCAAAAGTTTTACCTATGGCTCAGAACTTAGTAGAAATAGTATTTTTTTTCCTTGCCTAGTTGCCTCTAATATTTGGCTATTCCCAAGTATAACTACAATTACCCTGCAAGTCTGTTGCTTTCACATTTTCATGTTTAATTACATTCCAATTGAGATTATTTTACACATGTAAAAAATCTAAAATTAATTGAATTGACTGGAATGCCCTTGACATAAAGTTACATTCATCATTCTCGCCTCATAGAAAAATAGACATATGCTAGTTGTCAAAAGGCAAGAGTGAACTCCTATACCCTTCTAGAACAAAGAGGCCAGTTCAACTTCTTTCTTTCCTCAGTGTTTCAGAAGGTGTCCTTTATTTTGTGCACTAGATGCAAGGATTTTGCGGCTGTATAAATGAAAAATGATACCTTCAGACTGCCTTTTTAGTGACAAATTATACCTCTGCACACTCTCACACTGCCTACAGTTTTAAGTACATCGTTTAGATTTACTATTACTTCCTTAGGGACTACAGGTTCCTCGTAGAACACCCCCAAACTCATTTCCACTGTTTCAGAGTGCAACCAACATGAGAACGTATGCTCATCACAGTGGTATAGAAATTTGCCTAGTAAAAACACGCTCTGGAATGCCTCAGGTGCTAAAACCAACGTCGCCTTGGTGTATTGTTGGAGTTTTGATGTGCAAAACCGACAGAGAAAGTTGGCTGGAGGTATGTGCAAAGCATTGTATTTGCTCAGGAAGGAGCTGTGGATGGTATAGGCTGAGCAACGCCTCTCACTTTGCTTCCTGGGTGAGACCAGTGAGGCGTGCCCCTTAACAGAAGCAAACAGAGAGAGAGAGAGAGAGAGAGAGAGAGAGAGAGAGAGAGAGAGAGAGAGACTGGAGACTCACCAGCTTCCCCATTTTTCCCCACGACGGAGTTTTCGTTGCTCAGCTGTAATCTGGAAGAGGCAAGCCTTCAGGTCCTCCAAGCGGCTGCTCTGCTCGGGCAAGTGCTGGCTCTACACTTTGCCTCCCATCAGCTGAATGGCTGGGGCGCTCGGGAAGCCTGCTCTGTCCAGCTGAGAGTCGCTCCCCCCCCCCAGGGTGTGTGCTTACATGCCTTTCAGTCAGCGCAAAAATCCTCCAAACTCAGGTCAGCCTAACAGGTTTCCTTATATAGGTAAACATGAATTGCATTCCTGGTGAAAGAAGTTAACTAGGAACCCCGGTAACCTGGTTAACTCTAAGTGTGCCAGAGTGGCTCAGAGTCAGCCTGTGTAGGGTTTGGTTGCAGTACAAAGGGATTTGTGTGATTTAATTAAAATCATCTTTATCCCGGCAGTCTGCAAATTTGGCCCTTCTAGAATAACTGCAAGTCAACTGCTAGTATTTTATATCACGGCTTCTGACAAACCTTGTATTATCTGAAGGCATCGTAGGAAGAAAAACTAAAGAAGAGGATATTATAATTTGTTTCTTGTGTTGTTAAAACCAAAGTAACCCGTCTTGGGATCATTTTCAAGGTAATAACTAAAAAACATTTGATAGAAAAATAATGTGAATAAACTTCCTGCAAGTAAGGCTCAAAGCATTATTTCAATTTATTAATTATCAACTTTCCCACACTTCAGGGAATAATACAATATGATCTTTGTACGTTTACTTTCTTTGCAATGCAGTAATTGCTACTGTATTCTTGATGGATGAATGACAGATAATGACATCTTTTGCAGAAATAACCCCCCAAAGCCACATATAGACGTGTCATTTGGTGGCTTCAGTAAAGAATTTTAAGATCTGTGAATTGCATAATTATATTTGTAAGAATTGTAACCAACCTAGTGGATTTAAGAAGATAAGAAAATAAACCTTAAATGAACTGTAGAGATAGGCAGCTTAACTCTAGTTGCAAAATATAGTCTTTAAATGAAATATGTACCTCACATAAATTGTTTAATAATTGACTTTCATCCCACCTTTGCCCGCCACCTAGTGAAGTAAGAATTTTTTTTTACCCATTCCCTGAAGATATAAAATAAATTTGGGATACGAGATTTTCTTATGTTTTGGAAATAAAGATTGCCTGCTAAACAAGACCTATTTTTAAAGAATCACTTGTTTTATTTTGTCCATTCGTTGATGGCTTCTTGACAGTGACGACCTTATTAAAAATAGCTCAGGGCTTTTTTAGGTCTCTGTTCCAGAAAGGGGAGAGTGTGAATGTGTCCACAGTATCTAAGTCAGCACCCAGCAAATCGGTCTCAAAGAATTTCTGCCAAGAAGAGTGAAGCACAAAAATCACAGTGCGAAGGGGCATTTTACATTGGGCAGAGTTTTGTATCTAATATCTTTTCTTATGCACTCAGGAATGCTGTGAAGGTGCAAATTGTTTTCTCTTTACAATAACACAATTGCCTTGTGTGAACTAAAGTGATTGCTCCAATATCTTATGATCAGTAGGTGGGAGATCCAAAATCACAGATCCACAATTTAACTACAACAGCTTTTCCAAAATTGAAAGGAATTGAAGAGACAGAACATGAAAATGGCAGTTTTTCACATTCAAATATAATTTTTAATCATCTGTCCAGAGAGTTCAAACACATTACAAATTGATTAAAATGCTTTGTATGAAGTCATAACTTATTGCTCAAATGACTGTCTGTAAAGGTCTTCAGAAAGATCATAAAATGAGATAGAAAGTGTATTTTATGGAATATGAAATTGGGTTATAAGATGTAAGATATATATATACAAATATTGCACACATTTTTTAGTCATAGTATACACATCTCTATTGCATCAAGTTAAGACTGACCTTGATTCTCTTATTGAAAGCAATATTACTATTTTCTATTTATTGGGTATTCATTGCTCTTAAATAAAACTTTGTGCCACACGAGGTAAATGGCTTTTACAAATTTCATCCATTTTTGATCCTGTACCCTTTATGCCCTCACAGTTCCCACTGAAGCAAGTTCTGTTTATGCAGGAACCTTAGACTTTGTTAACATGTTGTTGCAAGACGAAGAATGTGTGTTTTTCCAGGGCAGGTTAGATCTTTAAATGACTTAAGGTGGCCTCCAAATTTGTTCTTATGATTCTAAGCAAACAATTGCTTCGATTTTAAATGCAAAATATTATAGGCTGTAATTATTGAATTGCAATGTCAAAATGAAATTTGGATCTCAAAATGGCATATTTCGAAGATGGAATATAAACCTCTGCTAAATCCATTTTGGATGCCTCAAGAAATGGTTTGGAAAAGGTTGGGTCTCCAAAACAGCATGAATTCAACCTAACCATATAGGACCCCAATGAGAGAGTACTTACAGCTGAGTAATTACAGTATGCCAAAAATTTGCACTCATAGAAAACTAAATAAAGTACAAGAATGACTTGAAGAGGAGAAAATATCATTGTGGTTTAAAAAAACATCAAGGGATAGATTTTAGAAATTCCCAATGATATATAACTAATGAATAGTTGAGCTATAATTCAAACCTCAGCCTGTCAGACTCCAGAACACTTACTATTTATGCTGTATCCTGAATGCTGCATGCTTTTCAAGAACATGAAAATGCTTTAGAGGCAGGAGATGCCTCAAATCCAGTTCCATCTCGTGGGTGTATGACCATGGAGAAATTACTTAACATTTCTGAGTATCACTTCCAAAGTGGAAATAAAAGTGGCTTCAGTCTCTCAGATTTCTGAAAATACCCAGTGAGATTTCTTTAATCAGTCCACATATGTTATTGATGTTTCATATGGTTCAGGAATTCTGCAATGCCCTGGAAAGACAGTCATAAACAAGCTAGGCCTGTCTCTCCTTCCTTATGGAACTCACAGTCTTGCAGGAGAGCTCTGGGCTATGAAACTCTAACATTTTCCACAATACAAGAATATTTAATGGAGGTTTTACTTCAGTATAGGGATATTTATAAAGAAATGCCTTTAAAACTACAGTTCCCACTATAGTTATTGAACTTTGTTAAGCAAAGGCTGGCCTTACCCTGATTAGGCAAGGGATACCTGGGCTAAACCAAGTAAGGTAAATACCAAGGAAAGGTAAAACTTGGTGATTTGGCCATATCATGACAATGTCCTGTTACTTGAAAATTGAGGAGGATCAGTTTGTTCCATCAAAAAAACATTTTGAAGATGCCAAAATACTGGATGTTCAGTGAAGTTATTTTTACCATTAACTCTGTGCATAATGAAGTGATGGAAATACATAGGCAAATATACCCTAAATATTATAGTCAGTTATCCGTTGACCTATCTGTTTTTAGTTCACTTTCATATAAGAAAAACTACATAAATATGTGCTATGGATAAAGCTCTGTACAAGATAAACGTAGAAAAAGAAACAGAAAATGAATGGTCCACAGCCTTAATAAAGCTTTTTAAAAAATATTATAATTGTTATATGAGTTAGGATAGGTGCAGTTATTCTCTGGTGACAAGCAAATCAGTGACTTAGACAGTGAAGATATGTTTGTCGCTCATACTGCATGTATACACATATCAACAGGGAAGGCTCACCTATTCATAGCCACTCAGGCAGTATGTGTCAATATTTTGACACACATTGCCACAGTTGCTGAGACAGGAACTTGATGAATCACGTACTGCCTCTCAAAATTTCACTCCATAAATAACACTTAAATAACCACTCACCTCTCATTGGTTAAAGCACATCCACTGACTCTCTTTACCTTTAAAAACATGGATGACCATCAGAATACACGATAAATATGAAAGTGACAGATATAGCAAATCATTTGACTGGAAACAAGTAACTTTTTAGGTCAATTTTATATATTTCACCAACTTATGCACTACTACTTGTGTGGAAAACAGTACTAAAAGGATGTGCAATCAACTCGAGGATCTTGCTGGTTTAGGACAGTTCTTGTAAGCCAAAAGGGACTCCAAGGTTGGCTGCCTAGAACACCCTTTTGAACCGTCATAGTTTCCCTCATATTCAACCAGAATTACTGATAATCTTGCAGTGCACAATTAAGTCCTGGCTCTAGGGAAATGGGATTTAGACATTAATTTCTGAACTTAAAACACCAGTCATTGTACCATAAGGAATAGTGAGGATGTCTACTTAATTGACACTTAGACAAGTTGATTTGATTTGCAGATGGTATCAAATGGGATAGCTAACACCTCAGAGGATTTCATTAGAATTCAAAATGACCTTGAAGAGTAGGGAAAATAATGTTAAGAACTAGTCTTCAATAATGATAAATAGATGGTTAAGATTAAAGGTCTTCAGAATACTTAGCTGAAAAAAGCTATATTAAAACAACACTAGGGCCAGCCAGATAGCTCAGGAGATTAAAGCATCTGCTTAGGCAGGTGCAGGGATGGGGGTTCAATCCCTGGTGTGCCTTGCCAGTCCTGCCCCTGGAACGCACTGAGATGGCGATTGAGACTAGGTGTGGTGGCGCAAACCTGTAATCCCAGTGCTTGGGATGATGAAAACAGGAGAATGAGTCAGATCCATGTAGTAAGACCCTGTAAACTCTGTAGCAAATTAAAAAAAAACCCAAACTAACCTGTAAACTGAATATATACTTGGTACTTAGCATTTTTATTTGTATAGGCTCTTGGGATGTGTTAAAATTATGGTGAGATTAACCATATAAACATTGGGAGATAGACTGATATATGAATACTGCTTCATTAAGGATCCACATTTTGAAGAATAAGATATCAGAAGCAGAAATTTACAAAAGACTAAGTAAGCAAAGTTGTTGTACAGAAAGCCAGACTATAAACGATTTTAACTTTGCCAGTTAAAAGGTCTTTGCTGCAATTGCTTTTGTTGTGTTCCAAGGCAGTCAAAGACAGAATGGAAATTAATCGGCATCCCAATGAAAATGTATTTTCCAAATTGGCAGGTGACCTTGCCTTTAAATTGTAGGCCCCTACTCTCTATATTATAAAAAAGTACCCAACTGATAAGACATACAAAATGATTGCAACAACCTAAGAGACCCTATTTTGGCCATTTGCACCAATGATGGTTTTAGTATTTACATTCCATTAATTGTGCTTTGTACATAGATGTCAGTGAGAAAATTGGTAAAAGAAATTACCCAAAAATATTAGTTAAAAGTGCCATGAACATGACAATGTCAAGCCATACAGTTATATGTAAAAGATGAGCAAGGCAGTGATCCTGAAAATCTTCAGAAGATTTTTGAATCTAACAGTTAATTGGAAAGATTCTCACCCTGACTAACTATATATACTGATA